ACTTGATTGTTTTAAAATCTTCAAGACTGAAGTTGAGATGCAGTTGAATAGACAAATGAAAATTGTTAGATCAGATAGAGGGGGAGAGTATTTTGGCAGGTACACTGAAGCTGGACAACAGAAGGGCCCTTTTGCAATATATCTCCAGCAACAAGGCATTGTGGCGCAGTATACTACACCAGGGACACCACAGCAAAATGGTGTTTCAGAAAGAAGAAATAGAACTTTAATTGGGATGGTTTGAAGTATGATTTCAAGATCAAAACTGCCTAGTTTTCTCTGGGGTGAAGCACTCAAGACTGCCAACTATATTTTGAATCGAGTGCCCACTAAATCTGTGAAAGGAACACCTTTTGAAGTTTGGACAGGTAGAAGGCCTAGCTTTGTGCATTTCCATGTATGGGGATGCAAGTCAGAGGGCCGATTTTATAATCCGAATGAAAGTAAGTTAGATGCCAAAACCACAACTTGTTACTTTATTGGATATTCTGAGAAATCCAAGGGCTATAAATTCTATTGTCCACAGGCTAATTCACGGATTCAAAAGACTCATAATGCTGTGTTCATTGAAGACCAAGATGTTGCAGATATGGTAGCTGAAACTTTTGTATTTGAAGAAATTGACCAAACAACTAATGATGCTGCAATAAATGACTGTCTGCAGATTCCCATTTTCTCAAACACATCATCTGCAATTAGAGATGAAGACACTGAGATGACTGAAAATGAGTTGCAGCCTGTTGCTGAGGATAATCTTGAATCTGTGACTGAAGAAATTCAAGAACTCAATCATCAACCTGTGCAGCAACCTGTGAGACACTCAACAAGAGTGAAAAAACCGGCTTTTTCAAATGACTATGTATACCTCCAGGAGAATGAATTCGATCTAGGAGATATTGATGATCCACTGACCTATTCTCAGGCAATGACAAGTCCACAAGCTGTATTATGGAAGAAGGCTATGGAAGAAGAATTAGAATCCATGTCCAAGAACAATGTTTGGACTTTGGTGGAATCTGATTCTAAAACTAAACCAATAGGTTGCAAGTGGGTTTACAAAACCAAGAGAGATGCTCAAGGTAGAATTGAAAGGTACAAGGCTCGGCTGGTAGCAAAGGGCTTTACACAGAAGGAAGGGGTTGATTTTAGTGACACTTTTTCCCCAGTTTCTTCAAATGACTATATGCAGATTATCATGGCATTAACAGCCTATTTTGATCTTGAATTACATCAAATGGATGTAAAAACAGCTTTCCTCAATGGTGAATTAGAAGAAACTATTCATATGAAGCAGCCACCTGGATTCATTGAAAGGGGGAAGGATAGTTTGGTCTGCAAGTTTAATAAGTCAATCTATGGACTTAAACAAGCTTCTAGACAATGGTATATTAAATTTGATAAAGTTGTGACTGCACACGGGTTTACTGAGAACAAGCTTGATGACTGCATATACTCCAAGTTCAAAGGTACCAAATTCATTTTTCTGGTACCATATGTGGATGACATTTTGATAGCTAGTTCTAATTTGCAATTGCTGCATGAAACCAAGACTATGCTCAGTTCTAACTTCGAGATGAAAGACTTGGGGGAGGCTCATTATGTCCTAGGGATTGAGATAATCAGAGACAGAGCAAAGAAGTTTCTAGGGCTATCACAAAAGGGATATATTGAGAGAGTTTTGATTCGGTTCAATATGGAAGATTGTAACGGTGCTGATGTACCTGTGAATAAAGGAGACAAATTCACTCAAGATCAATGTCCTAAATCCGAGTTGGAGAAGAGAAAGATGAGTTCAAAACCGTATGCTTCTCTGGTGGGCAGTTTAATGTATGCCAACATATGTACTAGGCCGGATCTTGCTTTCATTGTTGGCTTGCTGGGCAGATTTCAATCTAATCCAAGTGAAGCACATTGGATGGCTACTAAGAAGGCATTAAGGTATTTACAGAGAACAAAAGGCTTCATGTTAGTTTATGGTGGAGCACATGAACTGGAAGTAATTGGTTATACCGATTTTGATTTGGCTGGTGATCTGGATGAAAGAAAATCAATTGGTGGCTATGTTTTCATGTTTAATGAAGGTGCTATTTCATGGAGAAGTGCCAAGAAAACTATGATCTCTACCTCTACTATGGAAGCGGAGTTTGTGGCATGCTTTGAAGGCATGAAACAGGCAGTCTGGATTAAGAATTTTTCCAGTGAGTTGAAGATTGTAGACTCAATACAGAGACCAGTGAAGATGTTATGTGACAATAATTCTGCAGTGTTCTTCTCCAAGAACAACAAAAGGACTTCAGCCTCGAGGTTAATGGATGTGAAATTCTTGAAAGTCAGAAAGAAAGTTAAGCAAGGTGCAATAGTGGTGGAACATTTAACTACTGATTTGATGATTGCCGATCCTTTAACAAAGGCATTGCCAAATTTTTTTCAAGACTCATGTAACTCGGATGGGAGTATTGGAAGCTTTTGAAAAGTGGGAGTAATTGTTGTTGTATTCAACAGTATGTTAGAACTACTGAAAGATGACAGTAAAATGCTTTTCAAATGGGAGGTTTTCTGCAAAAGTTTTCTGGAAGCTAAGTGTTTTAGTTAGTTTTCTTGTTTGTTTTGTTTGCAGTTTGTTATGGTTTTTATTCAGTGCAATTTTTCGAGATATTTCTGTGATTGATTGTTCTAGAGAATAGTTTTTCGATTCAATAAAAGCTTGTGAATCATTTTTAGTACTGATAAAGCTGTTGAATGTGTCATAACTGTGTTGTTCACTCTTTAGTGAGTGATTTTGAGTTAACAGTTCACTGATGGATATTTTGATATTGATTTTGGGCTATGTGAGTGGGAGTATACGTTTTTGGGTTTACTCCTGTATTGAGATGCATTGCTATAAGCATAAATTGGACATTGTGATTTGTAAGATGATTTTGTATTTTGTGTTACAAAGGAGATTACAAATTCATTGTTTTGGTTTGTGTAAGCTGGATGTATCTGTGCACTAGTTGTAATGATAAAAGACTTGTGTGATCACCTTTTTGATACATTTGAGATAATTATCTGTTGTGATGAATCATACTCAAGTGGGAGAATGTTAGAGTATGAGTATGATTCTTACATGTTTTGGGATAATTAACATTATCATAAAAGAAGTCTTAGTCATGTTGGCTGGAGTAATCCTATTGTGGGTAGGATATTGAGAACTCCTGTATAGAACTCATATTCCTTATTGGATTGTAATAGGGCAATCGATATGCTTAGTATATATACATAAGCCACTGCTCTCACAAAGGTAACGCTCTCATCTTTGCACCAATAACCTATTTTTTGGAGAGCATTGAGATTTGCAGATAGGAGAAGGGTTGTGTAAGTGCTGCGATGGCCTCTTCATCAAGCAGCATGTCTGCAGGTTAGTATTCTTTTATGTTCTGTCGATATTTTGTTTTCATCCTTGTTAATGTTGTGATTTGATCACTTGATTCAATGCGGTTCATAGGAAGAGACTGATCTAGGTTTTGATGTCTCTGAGTTATTCTAACATTATATACCTTTGAACTTTGTATTCATGTATGGGCTATAGGTCATTCAATCATCATGTGAAGAGAACTGAGGATCAACGGATTAAGTTCCATATCTAATTATTGGATGAGAGCTGGAAGAACTGCAGGTCCTGGACTCTTATAAATTAATTAAAGGGACACTTTGGATGCGGTCCCTAGCTATCAATATTCTTTGATTGAAACCTTGTTAGTTTTTAGTTTTTGATTGAAGTCCCTGACATTAATGTAATAATGTAAGTTACTATATTTTTTAATTAAAAATTAAAAATTGAAATTTGTAATTGTTTATATTAATGATATTTTAAATAAAACTCATAATTTATGGGATTAAAAATAATAAAATATAAATTATACTCTCTATTATATTGTGTGTGTGTTTATATATATATACATATATGTATGGGTACATTAACCAAAATTAACAAAAAAAGTTATTGTACCAAAACATGGATACATTCTCAAATCAACGAAAAAGAATGTACCCATATAAGTTTAAACATGGATTAAAAAATTTGAATGGATTTTATATTAAAAAAAGGGTACATTTTACATATAACAAATTGATATATTTGAGAATGGGTACATTTAAGATTAAAAAAATTGAAAAATTATATGAATGGGTACATTTAAGATTAAAAAATTGAGAATCTTTTTATATATAAAAAAAAACTAATAGGTACAAACTTAATTTAATTTAATTTTTTATTATTTTGGAAATGTTTGAATTGAAAATTAATTAGAAGTTTAATAGAGGTGTGAGTATTAAACCCTAAATTAATTACTAATTTTTATATTAAAAAATTATATAATAAACAAGTAAATTCATTATCACATTAATGCTAGGGACTTGAATCAAAATTTGAGAACTAATAAGGTCTTAGTCAATGAACAATAAAAACTAGGGACCGGATACTAATTTTTCCTTAATTAAAACTAGCATCAGCATGAAAAAACCATCTAACTTCTCTTGGTGCGATAAGATATGTAATTCATAGTACAAGACGCAAAGACATTGATCCCATTCTTTTTGTTTCATATATATGCTATATATTGGAGAAGCACACATATCCTTGTAATGATGGATCCATAAGAAGAAACAAAATCATATATGTTAGAGAAAACATTCGGTAGTTAAGTTTATTAAAATAAACTAGTTGGACTTTGTAGTTCAAGCATAATGATTCTCCTCTTGTATAAAATGCTAATGATGATGCAGAATTCATATCATTCTTTTGCCTCGCTATTTTGATGTTGAAATCAAGAGTGTTATCGTGTCCATAACGTGTTAGAAATAACAGAGAGATTAGGAGGAAAAAATAAGAGCGTCTTCTTTCTCATTAGAGTGCCAATTTATAGACTTAGGGTTTACGTAAAAAGATGTCTTAACGAATTCATATTATATATTGATCCATAAGTGAACAACCACATAATAAATTTTATTTCCAACACAAAGTAATAAACAAGGGCTTAAAATTCAAATAACTAATTTCACCACAACCAGGTCTAGAATTTCACTAGAGCGTAATACCCGCGCGTTGCCGCGGGAATTTGGAAAAGCGTTAACTGGAAAAGGAGGATTACATTCAGTTACAAAACATAGAAATTCCTGGTACAAAGATACAAAAAACATAAGAATAACTGAATTTCTTCTAATAACCCCATCTAATATACTTTGTGTTCCAGCTTTTGCATACAAAAAAATGAGGAGATGCTGTTGTATGGGGATGCAAAAAATATTGTTGAGTTTTGGGCAAAAAAAGATATGTACAGGTTTTTAAACATGTTAAACATGATTTAATATACATAAACAAAACACGGTAAACATTCTTGATTGAAGTAGTGAAAGGTGTCTTCAGCCCTTGTTGTCATTGATAAGGCAACCTGAACAAAGAGGAATAGAACAGAACATATTTAGATAGGAATGCAGAAATGGATAATTATTTGAGATGTTTTATTTTAAATAAATGAAAAGCCAATTAAAACTGAATTAACATGTGGTTTTCATACGGAATAAATGATGGCCTTTGTGTGATGCTTGCAAAGAATCTCTTTTTCATCCTGCATATACAAAAAGAAGATAGTGACTATGTTTAGCACTAATCAGAAAATTATGATAAATAGCATTGTACATGTTTTTCAATCATAGCTTGAGATCAATGTCATTCGATTATTCTATTGCTGACTAAACAAATTAGAACGCCACAGAGAATAAGCATGTGTCCTCACGTACAAAACACCACTGCTATCGATAAAAGAAAAGTCGATTCACCAACAAAACTCAACAATAAACAAAGCTGTTAAAACATTAGGAATAATGGAATTAACATGCATTAATCAATTAGTTCCCTGCTTTATTTAAATAGGAAATCCATATACAATTAGGAAGGAATGAAAGCAGGGAATACATACCCAAACCAACAGTAGCCTTCGAACTCCTGTTAAATCTCAGATTTATCAGCGGAGTAAACCAAACGCAAAATCCACTCTTAGCCGACAAAGCCTCGACAAACTGCCACAACTCAGCATAAATTCAAACTGTTAGGGTTTCGTTCTGTTATATATAAGTCAACAATATGTGATAATTTATATATGCTAATAAATAATAAATGCAATAGAAACTAACAGAATATAAACTAGAATATGAATTATAAAACAGACAACTTGAAGATCGAGGCTTGCGTACCGCAATGTCCTTGAAACAGAAATTTCGTCCCTACTCTGTGCTTGTAGTTCTACGGACGTCTGCTTCACCAGGATTCAACGATCAAGTTAAAATTCCAGCACCGGAAAATTTAACTTCTGGCGAATTTAGTGTGGTTCTCTCAGTAAGAAGGTTTAGGAATGTAGAAGATGAAGTTGATTATTTTCTGTGTTTTAGATGCTATGCAGATGAATGTATATATAGCAGATGGATGCCTGTTTGCAACAGGTATGAGAATGGGGTGTGACTGTTGGGAGACATCTCTTCAGAGGGGTGTTTTGCTCTGTGTTCAGAAAGAACTCTCAGACTTCATCTGAAAGGATGAGTCTTTTCATAAAAAATAAATAATTAATTAAATTCGAATTTAATTAAAAAAATAATTAAGTAAATCCGAAAAATAATTAATTAATAATTTAATTATTAGAGCCCAAGAGCCCAACCCCAAGGGTGAGCCCAATTTTAGTCTCCAGGCCTATTACTCCAATCACTTTCTTTAAAGGACAAAGCTTTATAAAGTGATAAAATCTTTTGGGAATGGCCAATGTGGGATAAGGAAATTTCTACTCAAACTACTCAAATTTCCAACACGTTCAAATCAATGCAAATTCGAAATAACAACTCTCATATAAGGGTTGCTGAACTTACCTGAGTTAAATAAAAAAAAATTACGATGATCTGAACAAAGATCGCACCCAGACTGCACCAAAAATTGGTCGGAAAGCCGATGACAATTGGGGAGAAACGATTTACAGAGATGCAAAACTTGTCTCAAAACAGAGAACCCAAACAAACTCTAAAGAAGCAGAAAAAGCAAAGGAAAATTTGAGGAAAGAAAGAGATAAAAATGAAAGAAAAAGAGAGAAATCCTCTCAGCAGAAAGTTCCCGAATGATCAACACGTGGAAGACCAGAGCAAAACAAAAAAATAAAATAACCAAAGGCAACTTAAGCAAGGCGGAAGACAGCAATGCTTCTCACAACTTTTAAGCTTTGTTTTTCATGCATTCAAAAAAATTTATAATTTTTTATTGTGTTATATGCCACAAACTTGGATTAACTAGTTTTGTTATCATTATTTTATCTTTCTTTGTGCCCACACTCTCTAAGAGACTTTGCATGCAGATTTTTTTAGAATATTTTATTGTGTTATGTGCCATAAACAGTATTCCATGCCACCTACTGAGATGTGCCAATTAACTCTTTTTTTTTTCAATATTTGTTGTCATCATCATTTTATCTTTCTTTGTGTCTACACTCTGCAAGAGACTTTGCATTCCAATTTTTTTATAATATTTTATCGCCTTGTGTGCCACAAACAGTGTTCCATGCGAGCTACTGCAGGAGACTCGGCGTGGAATGAGAACAGGTGGGTTTCTCACAATTTTTAACAATTATTTTGTCCATGCATTCAATGTTTTTAGAATTTTTTATTGTGTTGAGCGCCACAAACCATGTGGCCTGGGGCGAAGTCATATTTTTAAAATAAATTCTTGTCAGTTTTATAACTAATTATTTTTCTTTGTGCCATAACTGGAGGATCATAGACACGTAACCTGGAAAGGGAAAGGATGATCAACATGTGGCAATCATGGGCAAAACTGAGATTAGAGTAAACCTGGGAGGGCAGATTCGGAATGACACTGTTACTTTCACTGTTCATGAACAGTGTTTCACCCGTTTGGGTTTTGGTATATATATTTCATATGTTGTATGAATTTAAATGAGTAATTCGATCGCCAACTAATTATTGTTGCAGGAAAACTAATGAAAAGGGCTTGAAAACTTTGAGTTTTAATGATAAAGACAAAATAAAGGATAAAGTGAATAGTATCATGATTGACTTTTTAGTGTAAAAATGTGGTTTTTCATTAAAGTGAACAGTACCGGGTGCTTTTCGTTAAAGTTCCATATTGTTGCACTGGTACTTCCTCTCTACGTTAGAAGAGATCCAAAGTTCGAAAGTTGTCACTCTCATTGATTTAAAAATGAAACTTAACATGTGATAACGTTAGTCAAAACGTTTGAGCAAAATATTAGAAAAGACCCCGATATTTTCATTGAAACTTCCGTGTTTTTTAACTACCGATATTTTTTTGGACTACCAATATTTTCGATATCATCGATATTTTAGACTACCAATATTTTCGATATCATCGATATTTTAGACCTTGCTAAATCACTCTTGTATCTTACCATGCAATGTATAAAGTGTAAAATATTGTACTAATTGATTATATATAAATGATTATGGTGTGTTTAAACTTCTTTCATTAATTACTACATATTTTCTACACTTACAATGTTTGCCAGCTCGCTATATAATCAATTTAAATCAGTTATATCTATCATGCAATGCATTTCCTTCTAATTTTTTGTGATAAACTAATAAATAATTGACTAAATAAAAAAGTTTCAATAAAAATTTCCAAGTTTTTCTTACAATTTCCGTGGTTTTTATTCAATTTTTATCGATATCGATAATATCCCGATATTTCTATCGAAATTTTTATATTTTTGGACTACCGATATTTCCAATATCATCGATATTTAATACCTTGAAAAAGACTGATCAACTACAAAAGTTAATTTATCTACAAAACAAAAACAATATACAATTGATTGCGACGAAAAATGACCAGAAAAAGAGCTCCGCTCGAGGAAAAGTAGAAACTCGACACTTCTTATTTATGAATATTCTTATTAGCCAAAAAAAAACCAGTACAATTACGGAAATGTTTATCTGTAAAATATTTAACTGAAAAATAACATTTTGATACTATAAAAGCCGGTACATATCTAACATACCCTGTAAAATATGTGCAAATGAAGAAAATATTTTTACACAACTGGAAACGGCGGTCCAGTCCCACCTGTTTTATCTGCGTCGGTGATGCTGGAGTAGCAACAGAGGTCGTTGGACATTTCCCAGCTCCAGTCCAGCTTTCTGGACACAAACATTCGGGGCCATCGGTTTATCCTTACATAATGTTCCCTGATTTGTCCATTTTCAAAAATACTAGTAACAGTACAATAACAACACTCATGTCCGCCCCACACTTGATCACCATCATCTGCAGTTAGACTCCCATCAGGATGGAAGTAACGGCGCATAGGAAGGGCCTGTGCCGTTCCAATAAGGATCGAGATTTTGCCAGTATGTCGGAGCAGCCTGAGTGAAAGACAATAGTTTGATCAGATTTTGAGCTTAAATATGTCCCTCGGTCATTGTAAGAATTTACAGCAAGAAAAAGATTAATCACACTATTAAAATGTATTGTGAACGAACCTGCACGAAAGTTATCCATACCATAAAAAAGAAATACGCCTATTTCTCTTCAAAATTGTTGATACTTCTGTAACATATGCACTAACAGCAGGTGGCATCAAAGGAGATTGAGAAAACATTGCGCATTACATCTTTCAGTAATTTCCATGATCGACATAATAACACGAGAATCAATTTCAGCTATTAGTTAAATAAATGATGATTGGTGACATTACTTATAGTCGATGCACTAAAAATAGAGAGAGGGGGTGGGGGTGGGGGACATACCTTGTTAAAATGGAAATCCCAAACATGGTCACACAAATCATCCTTCATTATGCGTGCCTGACGAACAAAACCAGGTCAGTCGGAAACTCGACAGACATATCTTTGTGTGTACATCATTATTGGTGTACGTGTGTAAGCAAAAGAGAGAGGGAAAGAGAGAAATTGTAGGTAACTCACACGCTTGCCATCCACATAAGATAATGAATAAGCGGCCAACTTTGACAAGCCCTGAATTTGCAACAACCTAGGCATGTGTGCTTTTCCCAGCCACAATTCATCACACTATAACACATCATTTTAAAAGAAAAAAGAATCAGCATTCCTCATCACAGTTTCAAGTATCTCGAGTATCAATTGAAGCATCCTTTTAAATGGTGAAAGAAAATTATGCAGCAAGACTATGCTAGTTTGAATAACTGAAATCATAAAGTGGAATTCACTAAGAAAAAGTTTCGCTCAAATCGTATAATCCAGGACCGAATTTTGCTTCTGCTGTCTAGCTTTAGCATGTTTACCATGTGTTCTACTTCTAGGTATCCTCACTTTGCTATTATACGTCAACTTGCAGTGTTCACATATTTTTCATATCGAATCACAGATACCTGATTTTTGTTCAAGAATCAGAAAGCCGAGAGGGTGATTTCAAGGAGCTTTTAATTCCACAATAAAGAGCAGAAGCCATAAAAAACCTAAACCTGGAAACCCCTTATCCCCTCAAGTACTTAAGGGTGGTTTGGGAGTGACATGCTTAAAATAAAAACACCCATGAAAAAAAGCTGTGAGGGTTTTAGGTGTTTGACAAATTAAAAAAAAAAAGGCTTATTTTGGAAACTGCTATGTAAACTGAAATCAAAGGAAAAAGTTGAAGCTGCTATTTGCAGCTTTGGGAAACTGGTTTTTTTTCAAAGCACACGGAGTTACAGTGCTCTTTTAATGAAAAGACCCACTATCATACTGCTTTTCTTTTTTCCAAAAGCGCTTTTACAAAAAAGTTTACCAAATACTCTGCTGATTTATTTCACAGCCGCTTATTCTCACAACACAGTCGCTTATTCTCACAGCAGTTTTTTTTCAAAACACAGCAATACCAAACCAGCCCTTAATGTAGTTGGATCAATGTGGTCCTTTATTTAACAAATTCAGATTAGCTTCTACTTACTCCTCTCCAAATATGCATCATAAAGATATTTTTATATAGAATCGTACATTTCAGCCTCAGCCACCATATATAGAACCTTATGACAGTAGCATGCATGTTTTGAACACTTCCATAGTACGCGGGACTTTTATCACACACTGTATATATGCGTATAGGTTTATACTTCTATGCAGCAACACAATAATAGGAATAGGAATGTCAATTTGTAAACAGTGGATTATCATAATTCACAATACTCAATAATCTGGCATAGCCTTATAGCTAGATGCAACTTTACTCTTCATTTTCGTTTAAACAGAAGTGAAGAGGATGCATAATCGAAGCCAAGCCACCTTTTTTTGAAATATCAGTTGAATGATAAAATTACAAATCTCAATTGCTGATTGCTGAATTGAGAGTTACAAAATAGCCAAATTCCCAACTTTTCCCTAAGAAGTCATAGTTTACAGTTCTAAACTTATACAAAAATCCAGCAGGAATTAAAACTTAAAACCAGAAAAAAAAAAAAATAAGGGCATGAATATCGAATTTCGAAACCGGACAACAAAATCAAATTGCAATCCAAATTCAAAGGAATAATAGGAAGAAGGTAATATATTATGAAGATAGATGGAGAGAGAAATTATGAATGGACGGAGGACCTTGGAACTCCAAAGGCGGTCACTGGAAGCGACGCCGTGCCATGCATGCGAGACGAGGAGAGAGAGCACGCCACTGCGTCGAGGTTGTCCAGAATCATGGACATGATGTCCCTGCCAAACACCTTCAGTGGGTCCTTCAGTACAATTACCTCTTTCTTTTCTTCCTTTCCTTCTCTTTTAGCTGCCGTTGCTGCTTCATCTTCTGGGTCTCTTTCTCTCTTTCTATTGTTGTACTTGTTTTTTTGCTTTTCTTGCAACCTTTTCACATCGACCATTGAACTAGTGTGCCTGTCGGACTGTGTTCTGTGTGCGTGAGAGAGAGAGAGAGAGAGAGAGAGAGAGAGCGAGCGGAGTCTGGAGAGAGACTTCTAGCAGAGTACTTGGGTTTTTGTAGAGAAACTTACAGGAAACCATTTCTCGGTAAGTGTGATTTTTTTTTTTTTTTTTTGTAACTCGTAGATTCGGTCGAACATGTACAAGGATTTAGACAGGCAGTGGCAGTCCCCTGGAGGGTCAACTTCTGCCCAAGTAGAAGGCGGCAAGTTTCTACTACCGCCTTTCCTACCAAAAAGCTAACCCAACCGAAGAAAACTCTGCGTCGAACTTTAGTCCCTTTGAGCGGAGAAACAGCCTCTGACGCCCCCACACCATTGCGGCATCTTTCACGTGCATATGCTTGTGTTCTTATCTACTTTTTTGTCAGTTATGCATGGGAACTTGGGTCATTTTGTTTTCAGTTACTTTTTTTTGCCCTTCTTCTTGTTGTTTGTTATTTATTAATTTGGCTTTGTCCTACAACCAATGCAAACAGAAAAGCGAGAAACTTTGTGTTGGAAGTTCAAATCAAATACATTAGCCGAAAGTAGTGGAACACTTTTTAAAAATTGTTGGAACACTTTTCAGAAAGTGATGAAACTATTTAGAAAAACTGCATGTGTGTGTGCATTAAAAGGTAGTGCATGGGTGAAAGGGTGTAAAGATGGTAAACACCACCATTGATTGCATGTGTGTGTGCATTTTTTAATTAAAAAGCACTTGAGTGGTTTGTAACTTTTGCATGTATTATTAAGCCTCTTGTAAGGCTTTAAAAAAATCCATCCGAATTCCCATTCCATCAGAATCTCATTTCCATTTCAGCTTGTAAGCAATTAAGTTTGTAAACTCTTATTAAATATATCAAAGTGTTTGCTTGTATGCCGTGCAGTTTATCTAACACAAAAAGTTTGCTTCTTCATTTATTTTTTTTTCTTTGTCCAATTGTATTGAGAGTGATAGTGAGAGGTGTGATAAAATTAGAAAACTTATCACCCAAATATTTTTGGTATTGAGTTAGTAAACTTTGAAATACCAACAATTGGTATCAGAGCTAGATTACCTTTCTGGCAAGTGTAGTAGCTATGGCATTTAACTTAGTGCAGCTCCAGGTTCCCACATTGAAGAAAGAAAATTATGAAAGATGGTGCATCCAGTTCAAAGCATTGTTTGGATCACAGGACCTATGGGAAGTTGTCAGTAATGGGTATGATGAACCCACTACTGACCAAGAAGCTGCCTACACTGCAGATCAAAAGAATACTCTCAAGGACTTACGAAAGAAGGACAATAAGGCGTTGTATGTTCTATATCAAGGATTAGAAGATTCAACGTTCGAGAAGATTGCAGAAGCAACAACTAGCAAGCAAGTTTGGGACACTTTGAGCACAATTTACCAAGGAGTAGATCGTGTAAAAAGAGTTCGGCTTCAATCATAAGAGCAGATTTTGAGGCTGCTCATATGAAAAAATGAGAAAACATTTCAGATTACTACTCTCGACTACTTGTAATTGTGAATCAAATGAAAAGGAATGGCGAGAGGCTTGATGATGTTCGTGTCATGGAGAAAATCCTTCGGTCACTCACATCCAACTTTGAGCATGTTGTAACTGCCATTGAGGAATCCAAGAATTTGGAGACCATGAGTGCAGAGGAACTGCTAGGATCCCTCGTAGTTCATGAACAATGCATTCAGAAGAATGCAAGCCCCATAACGCTAGAGCAAGCTTTGGAGTCAAAGTTGAATATTGACAAACCAAATGGAGGTCGTGGACAGTGGAATTCACATCGTGAAAGCTCATCCAACCATAGCCGAGGACGAGGCCGAGGAAGAGGTCGAGGCTATGCACAAAACCGAGGTTAATCTCAAGAGTGGAGATATACTCGAGGAAATGCACATATCAGTGTCACGGTTGCAAGCAATATGGACATTATGCTAATGAATGTTCATATAAAAATGGTGAGCATGTCAACATGGCAGAATCAAGTGGAAATGCTGGTGAGGAATTTACAGTCATACTAGCACACCATGATATCAGTAGCCAACAAGATGTTTGGTATTTGGACTCTGGTGCAAGCAACCACATGTGTGGAAAGAAAGAGTTTTTTGTCGAACTCAAAGATGGACCTTATGGATCTGTGAGTCTTGGTGACTCTTCGAAGTTGCCAGTTGAAGGCAAAGGAAAGATCAAAATCATCCAGAAGGATGGTAGAGAAGAATACATCTCCGATACCTACTACATACCAGGTATAAAGAGCAACATTCTAAGCATTGGTCAACTGCTCCAGAAAGGGTATGTTATACATATAGAGAATATGCTTCTCACTCACAGGAATGCAAGGAGAAACCTTATTGCACGTGTTCAAATGTCAAAGAACCGAATGTTCCCGTTGAAGTTGAACACAAAGATTGGAAGCTGCAACATTGGTGTGATGGAAGATGAGTCATGGAAATGGCATCTTTGGTTTGGCCATCTTCATTTCAATGGCCTAAAGTTATTGTCAAGTGGAGAAATGGTTCGTGGTCTACCCCAGATTGAAGCCACACACCAAGTATGTGAAGGTTGTGTGCTTGGCAAACAAGCATGACTATCGTTCCCTATTGGTGATACATGGAGAGCAAAGGCACCACTGCAGTTAGTGCACATGGATATATGTGGTCCGTTGGATCCCAAGTCCTATGGAGGTAATAGGTATTTTATTACCTTCATTGATGATTTTAGTAGGAAGACTTGAGTTTATTTTTTCAAGGAGAAGTCGGCTGCCTTAAGAGTCTTTAAGAAGATTAAGGCATTCACAGAAGCTGAAAGCAACCATAAGCTTGTGGCTGTGAGATTAGATAGAGGTGGAGAGTACACCTCCAATGCTTTCCAGTATATTGCAAAGAGCAAGGAATTAGACATCAATTGACTACTGCATATACCCCACAACAAAATGGGATAGCTGAAAGAAAGAATCGAACCATCCTTGACATGATAAGGTCAATGCTTAAAGAGAAGAATTTGCCAAAAGAATTGTGGGCAGAAGTTGTAGCTTGTTCGATTTATTTATTGAATCGATGTCCAACAAAAAGTGTCAAGAAGATGACACCACAAGAGGCTTGGAGTGGATACAAGCCGAATGTTGCACACCTAAGAGTTTTTGGGTGTGTTGCATATGTTCAAGTTCCAGAAAAGAGAAGGAAGCTTGATGATCGAGGTGAAAAATGTGTGTTTGTGGGCTATAGTGAAGAGTCCAAGGTATATAAGCTTTACAACCCACTAACTGGCAAATTAGTGGTTAGTAGAAATGTCATCTTCAGTGAGGAAGAGGCATGGAAGTGGAACAACAAAGAAGTCAGTAAAGAGAAGATTGTTTCCACTGATTTTGAAGAACCAGAAGTTGTACCACTTGTTGAGCAACAGCATACTCAATCAATCACAACAACTCCATTGCACAGAACTGCAAGGAGTGGTCCTACCTCCAGTGAAGAAAGCATCTCCTCAACTTCAGTGAGGCTAAGAAGTCTCACCGAGGTATATTGACAAGAAGAAGAAGAAGAAACCAACCTTTTCTACTTGTATGCAGACCATGAGCCTCTCTCATTCAATGAAGCTGTGGAAGAAATCGTTGGAGAATCGCCATGGAGGAAGAAATCCATGCCATCGAGAAGAATGACACTTGGGAGTTGACACAGCTCCCACCAAATTAGAAGGCTATTGGTGCCAAGTGGGTGTATAAGATCAAACGCATTGCAGATGGGAGTGTGGATTGGTACAAATCAAGGCTTGTAGTGAAGGGCTACAAGCAGAAGTATGGAATGGACTATGATGAAGTCTATGCTCTAGTTGCAAGACTTGACACGGTAAGATTGCTAATCTCTCTTGCCGCTCATCATAAATGGAAAGTTTATCAACTAGATGTCAAGTCAGCCATCCTTAATGGAGTACTTGAGGAAGAAGTGTACGTGGAACAACCAGAAGGCTTCCAAGTACAAGGAGAAAAAGAAAAGGTGTATCGTTTGAAGAAGGCTTTGTATGGCCTCAAGCAAGCACCACGAACTTGGAACTCAAGGATTGATAACTACCTTCACCAAAATGGATTTCAGAAATGTCCATATGAGCATTCAGTTTACATGAAGAATGGTACAAAATGGAAGTTCTTAATTATTTGTCTCTATGTAGATGACTTGTTGTTTACAGTAAACAATGAAGCAATTTTCGTGAGTTCAAGCAATCCATGTTCAGTGAATTTGAGATGATTAACAATGGATTAATGTCATACTTTCTTGGCATAGAGGTGAAGCAAGAAAGTGATGGTATCTACATCTCTCAACAAAAGTACATGAGAGATATTGGAGAAATTCAATATGGACAAGTGCAATATTGTCAACACTCCAGTTGCAACTGGATTGAAGCTGTGCAATGAAGGAGAAGGTGAGTTTGTAAACTCAACCGTGTACAAAAGCTTGGTTGGAAGCCTAAGGTACCTTACAATCACAAAACCTGATATAGTTTATGGCGTTGGACTCGTGAGTCAGTACATGGAAACACCAAGGGAGTCTCATTGGCTGGCCGCCAAGAGAATTTTGAGGCACATAAGAGGTACTCTAAACTATGGCCTGTTTTATAATTTTGGTCAAGATGCAAAATTATTTGGTTATTAGTGATTTGGGGAGGTGACCAAGATGAAAGGAAAAGCACAACTGGCTATGTGTTTTTTCTAGGATCAACAGCTTTCTCATGGACTTCAAAGAAGCAATCAATTATTGCTTTGTCATCGTGTGAAGCCGAATACGTTGTTGTAGCCTCAACTGTATGTGAGGCAATTTGGTTAAGAAATCTGTTGAAGTCAGTGTGTCATCCACAAGTGGAATCGACTGTGATTCATGTGGATAACATCTCAGCTATCAAGCTTGCTAGGAATCCAGTCCAACATGGAAAGAGCATGCATATTGATACCAGGTTCCATTTTCTAAGGGACCACGTGAAGCAAAAGACAATTGAACTTGTCTATTGTCACACGAAGGAACAACAAGTAGCTGACATCTTCACAAAGCCACTGCCAGTTGAATCATTTTGGTGGCTGCGTGAAATGCTAGGCATGAATGTATTTTGATTTGAGAGGGCATGTTGGAAGTTCAAATAAAATACAGTAGCCAAAAGTAGTGGACCACTTTTTAGAAATTGTTAGAACACTTTTCAGAAAGTGGTGAAACTATTTTTAGAAAAGTTGTATGTGTGTGTGCATCAAAAGGTGGTGCATGTGTGAAAGGGTGTAAAGATGGTAAACACCATCATTGATTGCATGTGTGTGTGTATTTTTTTATTAAAAAGCACTTGAGTGGTTTGTAACTTTTGCATGTATAATTAAGCCTCTTGTAAGGCTTTAAAAATCCATTCGAATTCCCATTCCATCAGAATCCCATTTCCATTTCAGCTTGTAAGCAATTGAGTTTGTAAACTCTTATTAAATATATCAAAGTGTTTGCTTGTTTGCCGTGCAGTTTGTCCAACACAACAAGTTTGATTCTTCATTTATTTTTTTTCTTTGTCCAATTGTATTGAGAGTGATAGTGAGAGGTGTGATAAAGTTAGAAAACTTATCACCCAAATATTTTTGGTATTGAGTTAGTAAACTTTGAAATACCAACACTTTGGCCTCGAAACTGTAAATTTTGGACAAAAAAATGAGGAAAATAAAGAGATTTCTCATGTATCAGTACACAGAACGCCGAACTGAGGTCGATATGAAGTGAAAAAAAAAAAAGAGTACATCTTGCAGTTGGTAATGTTAATTAAATTAAATTTTGTAATTAAATGATGTAGTTGTTGATAATTAGAATATTAATTAAATGTGAATTATATCACATGTACAAATGTTATATGGTGTACTAATTAGTTTTCGACGTATGATGAGAAACCCTTTCTAAATAGTATACTCTTCATTTAGAAGTTTGTATATTATATTCACTGTGTATCTAAACTACGTATGAATATCCTTCTGATTGTCAACCATAATTTCATGAAGTTACTATTATAACTTTCTAATTAAAACTATAGAGAAATAAAAACTATGGACAATTTTGTAATTATATGAACATAAATTTTACTGTTTTTATGTAAACCTCATAACTATGTACCCATAGCAGCCCTATTTAAAATTAAAAATTAAATAAAAAACCCCACTTCTCTCCTCATCTTTCTCTCTCTCCATCTCTCGCCAAAAAAATCTTCAACCCCTCTTCTCTCACGTTCTCCTGATTCTCAACCAATCCACTTTCTTAAACCCACCCAACATACACTATGATTTGTTTTTCCCCAAACTCCCATAGGTTATAAAAACAAACTTCAAGAAGTTACCATTATAACCCTCTAATTAAAACTGAACAGAAATCTATGGACAATTTAGTACTTACATAAACATGAATTTTATTGGTTTTTACGTGAACCTCATAACCACATACATATAGCAGCCCTATTTAAAGTTTTTTAAGAATGATAAGAATTGCATTAGTACTGAGTGTTCGAGGAAGGTGTCTGATGGTTGTCTTTGGCATGTATATGCATCAAGGTGTGAGATTAACATGGTCTAAAAAGACATTAGGTGCTAGTCGGGGGGCGGGCGGAGGCTTAGCGCCTAGGCGGGGCTTAGACACGCGTAAGCGGATTAGGCGGATTTAAGTAAATACAATATTAATTAAATATTTTTTTTATAATATATAAATAAACATTGAATATTAAAAAGTATATATATATATATATGTGTGTGTTTCTATCAAGTGAAAGTGATAGAAAAAATAATAAAACATTATCCAAATAATTATATAAATATATAACATATATACATATGTATATAATGTATGTAAATATTCCATGCTGTTTG